GCAGGGCTGGCGCTCGGGTAGCGTTGGCCCTGCAGGGGCCGGCCGGGGAGATCCTGTGATCTCCCTGCCGGCCTCGGCCCCACGGCCATCGCGGCCCACCGGGCATTTGCCCGGTATGCCCGATGGCCAGTCCGGGCCTGCACTCTGCTTTCATTACACTAACACACACTCTGCATGCACTACACTAATACACACTCTGATTTCATCACACTAACACCCACTCTGCATTCCTTACACTAAGACACACTCTGCTTTCTTCACACTAACACCCACTCTGCATTCACTACACACTGACACACACTCTGCATTCACTACACTGACACCCACTCTGCAATCACTACACACTGACACACACTCTGCATTCATTATACTGACATACTCTGCATTCACTACACTATACACACACTGCATTCACTACACTGACACATACTCTGCATTCACTACACTAGCACATACTCTGCATTCACTTCACTGACACCCACTCTGCATTCACTACACTAACATACAATCTGCATTAACTATACACACAGCATCCACTACATAAAAATCCTGCATTCACTATACACACACTACATCCACCACACATTCAAACACTCTGCATTCACTATACACTGACACTGCATCTAATACACACACTACATCCACTACACAGACACTGCATCCACTAAACACATTGCATCTAATACACAGAAACACTACATCCCCTGCATAAACACACACTTTGCGTTCAATATGCATACTGCATTTGCTACACAAACACACACTCTGTATTCACTGCACAAACAGTATCTAATACACACAAACACTACTTATATTACACATGCACTCTGCATTCATTACACACATTTTAATTCACATCCACTATACACACCACATTCAGTCATTGTGAGCGGACTCGGTAAGAGCCCTATGATCGGACTCGGTAAGAGCCCTGTGGGCGGACTCATTAAGAGCCCTGTGGGCGGACTTGTGGATCTTGAATTCCAAACCAGGTGTTAAGAATTACAAGCCACCTTCTCGGAACACTATGGTGTCAATAATACAAATGTGTATAGGTTAAAACAGCCGTTTAGATCCCCGACCCCCCTTACCCGCCCTGTTAAAAAGGTGATTTACTTACCTTTTTCCAGCACCGCCAGGTTCTTCTCGTGGCTGGATGAGTTTGCTTTCCTGGCACTATTGTGCTCCTTTAAGAGCAGGGGTGTAGGGAGTGTAGGGGGTATAGGGACTTTGGTTGTTAAGGGGTTTGGAAAAATATGAGATGCGAAGGGGCAGTAGTAGGGGGAGAAAAAGGATTTACATTAAAAAAGTGTATTTCCCCCCTCCCTGAGTCTTACCTTTGGCCAGGGAGGGGAGGATGCTGGAGATGCTGCTGCCTGTAACACAGATCAGGGCAGCTCCGCAGGCATGATGTTACTCCATGCAGAATCAGCCACACATAGCTGCCCTGATCAGTGTAACAGCCTGTATGCTCAGTGTGGTTGTGCTGATCTGCTGGCAGAGACTCTGCTCCTGGAGCCTCTGCTGATTTCCTTCAGCCACACAGACAGGCACCCTGAAGGGCAACCTAGTGGGGTCTTTGGGAAGGCCCCTTAGCTGTCCCTCAGTGTGCCCTGCAAGGGGGAGCAGAGTTCTAGCAGCAGTGACCCGCGGAAGATTGCTGTGTGCAATCTGGCTGGGAGATTGTTTAACACCCCAGCTAAGTCATTACTGCACTGCAGCATGGGCTGCCCCCCAAGATCCTCGGGCCCTTGGTCCATGACCGATTTGCCAAAGTGCTCAGTTCGACCGTGGGTGGTACTAATTATAGTGGGCCACTCTAACAGCCATACTTCCCGAATGTCTTGTATCTGGTGGTGTAGTGCCAGAGGGACACTTGCAGGGAGTATTTATAAGGATACACATACCCTATGTCAATCTTTATTTTACATCATTCAGTCCAGTCTATCTGTCTATCTTACAAGTGCCACAGCTCTCATCTCCACTCTTCCAGTAATCACAAACTTTAAATCTTCTCTATTCAGGACTAATTTGTTCACTCCTCTCCTTCCCTTCTTACTAGCAAGAAAAAGCTTAATCCTGGTATGCTGACTGGGATAGACAAAGAGGTGCATGTATTGAGTGTCTTCATTCAATATTCATTTTAACATTAGAGCTTAGACATGGGGAATCAGTTTTGGAAGAATTGTGATTTAGCCATATTTGGGCTGATCTGTGATTCCACCAACAAAATTAAATCCAAGCCATCACATGGACATCAGGATTCAGAGTTAACTATTTCCTCACTGGCAGCACTAGCAACCAGCAGGCAAGTTGATGAAAAAGCCAGTCTGAATCACTATACCCCCACATTAGTATAATGGAAGCTCCACCTTCCACATGGCCCCATTTGCCATGCTGTGAGTGAGGGCATGTCTGTTAAGCAGTCAGTGGCAAGTGGATGCATCATGGGGGAGGTATAAAATCTCCCTTGTACTAATGTGGGGGTCTTATTGACCCCTATAGGCTTATTATTTTTTAACTACTTAATGAAGTGACTGACTAGCAAATGCTGGCCATTTACTACATTATTAACCTTTGCACCACTAGTTGTCTGGTTAATTGCCAAACGTCAGAAGCCACCTTTACTGTAAAAAAAAAAGTAAAACATTGTCATAAAAAGTACCTGTATTTACGCATTTGGAGGCATTCACCACAGCAGCTGCTTTACCTTCTGTGACTATTGTCTAATTCAGGGTTTTTTCCTGTGGAACCCTTTAACAAATTGTATCAACATCGTAGATTTCCACCTCCCATAAAAAAATTACACCTTTTTTGTATGTGCAGGCAGTGCCGGCCTTAGGGGTGTGCGAGCTGTGCGGCCGCACAGGGTGCCATGTGGCCGACACTGGTCGCACATGGCCAGGTGAGTGCAAGGGGAGCTAAAGGAAGTCCCTGGGTGGAAGATTCGTTTTTTTACACCGGGACTATGAAAAGGGGGCGGGACTTACCGAACAACAGGGGCGCACTGTGTGTGACCGTCTACTTGTGTGTGTGTGTGTGTGTGTGAGACTGTACTCTGTGTGTGACTGTAACAGTTTCTGACTGTCTGCCTATGTGTGTGTGAGACTGTACTCTGTGTGATAAAAAAGGGGGCAGAGGGCTGGTGAAGGGGCTAGTGATAAAGGGGCAGAGGGCTGGTGAAGGGGATAGTGATAAAGGGGGGCAGGGGCTAGTGATAAGGTGGGTAGGGGGCTAGTGATAAGGGAGAGCAGGGGGCTGGTGATAAAGGGGGGCAGGGTACTGATGAAAGGGGGCAGGGTTTTGTTGAAGGGGGTGCAAGTGACAGATTGTGAATGTGCCTGAAATTGTCTACAGGGGGTCAAACAAAGATGGCGGGGGGGCGCCACAAGATTGGCTCGCACAGTGCGCCTGAACACAAAAGGCCGGCCCTGTGTGCCAGTGTGTGTCAAGGTGTGTGTATCTGTGTTTCTATGTGCCAGTGTGTGTATCTGTGTCAATGTGTATCTGTGTGTGTGTGTGTGTGTTTATGTGTCTGACACACAGATCCACACACTGGCACATAGTGGCACACAGATATACACACTGACACACAGATACACACACCTTGATACACAGTGTGTATGTGTGTGTATGTATGTATGTATCTATCTGTGTGTCTGTGTGTCAATCTGTGTGTATCTGTGTTTGTGTGTATCTGTGTTTGTATATCGAGGCGTGTGTATCTGTGTTTGTATGTACCAGTGTGTGTATCTGTGTGTCAGTGTGTATGAATCTGACACACAGATACACCTACACTGGCACATAGTAGAACAGATACATACACTGAACACAGACACACAGATACACATACACACACTCAGATGCACACAGTGTCCCATACCCACATCTTGACTCACAAATACACACACACTCAGATAAACACAGTGACATACACACACTTGCACCCACATATACACCCTGGCACATACACACACTCAGATACACACATTAACACATACACACAGTGTCATATACACACACTGACACACACTCAGATACAGATACACATACATTGACATACACACACACATAGGCACATACAAACACACTGATATACACTGGCACATACACACTCCAATACACACATACTTACACACACACACACACACACTCAGATACACACAGTGACACATACACAAAACTTGACACACATATACACACACTGACACACACTCAGACACACATACTCTTTGACAGACACACATACACTCTCACTGACAAACACACATACTCTTTGACAGACAGACATACAAACACATACACACTCACTGACAAGCACACATACATTCTCACTGACAAACACATACACACTCACAACACACTCACTGAAAAGCACACATACACTCTCACTGACAAGCACGCACACACACACTGACAAACACACATACACTCTCAGTGACAAACACACATACACACACACTGACAAGCACACATGCACTCTCACTGACAAGCACACATATACTCTCACTGACAAACACACATACACTCTCACTGACAAGCACACATATACTCTCACTGACAAACACACATACACTCTCACTGACAAATACACATACAAACTGCTTAACAGACCCACGCACAATTTATTTTTATTTTTTAAAACTTCACTCCATTAAGCCTTTGGTGTTGCTGGGCTGAGAAGATGGCATGCGGGCTTACAGTGTGGGTGGTGATGGAGCAGTGATCTTGTTTCTCAGCTCCCTAGCGCGCCTCTTAGTGATGAGTTGGAGTGACATCAAATTCCAGCTCCGGCATCACTGCTGTGCGTGCGAGGGAGCTGAGTAGGGGAGAGTGCTCCCTTGCCGCCCGCCTCAATTATTACGGTGGATATTTTGTTTCCCGAAAACAAAATGGTTTC